AACACTTGCTCGGGCTTTATTGTAAAGCTCTGAGCAACAATTGTCTGCTCCTGTCCCGCGCTTGTACCGTGGGGCTCCTGTGTAACCTTGAACCGTGCAATGTGACCAATTGTTGGCTGCCAAAAGAAAAATTGTGGGGTTGTACGAACCTTGTCTTTCTGTGAGTTCCCCAGCCACAGGTGAGACCTGACGTAAGACTGTGATCTTTGGAAACCTTGCCATTCTTGTATGATCAGCCCCAGACCTCACTCCCTTTTCTGTTGATGGCATGTGGGAGTGGGAGAGCAAGGTCATGGAGCATAAGGAATTGAGTGTTCCTGTGCCCACACTTATCTAATGTGTATGACCTTGGAGAAATTACTCTGTGGGCATGACAGCAGAGGAACAAATCATTTGCTCTCTTGAGGCCTGTCACACTTTATTATCTACAGTTCTAATGGGCTCATTGATTAAAACATGATGTGATAGAGTTAGGTTTATCCTTGGGACAGTCAGTATGCCTGTCTCTTGGTCATTCCTTTGCCAGCCAGCCCCATTGCTAACTGTGCAGCCCATCCCCTCCCAGAGATAGAGCGGCCAGCTGGGACGCTGAGTCGCTTGAATGTGGCCTGTCCTCTTGTTTAGCCCCACAAGCCAAGTCCTTGAAACCTGGCTGCTTGAGTTTAGGGTATACGGTAGTACAAGGGACAAGAGGCTTGTGGTGGAAACAAATTTCTTTATTCAGAGCTGGCTGAGGCTTTCTCTCTCTCTCTGTTTTTTGTTTTTTTTTTTTTTTTTTAATATTTATTTTAAGAGCACATGTGTGAGCCGGGGAGAGGGGCAGAGAGAGAGGGAGAGAAAATCTTAAGCAGGCTCCATGTTCAGCCCGGAGCCCAATGTGGGGCTCCATCCCAGGACTGTGAAATCATGATCTTAGCCAAAGTCAGGAGTCGGACGGTTAACCCACTGAGCCACCCAGGCGCTCCTCTCTCTCTTTCTAAGCAGTTGGTCATCGCTTGGCAAGAGCTGTAGAAGTCAGGCTGTCAACTCTGAGTCCCTGCGCGTGGTACATGTATTGGCTGTAAGATTTTAGGTGCTTAAGCATTAATGCATGGGGCCTAAGTGTAAAGCTGCGAGCTGGGGAAGCCTTTACAAGAGAGATCTACCACAGGGGTGAGGACAGAAGTGAGCGTAAGTTCTAAACAAAGCCAGAGGTGCTTGGGTATATGAGTAAGAAATCGTGCATTCAGTCTTTCATGTGAAATCCTTGTAATTAGGATAAGCCCACAGCTAGTTCAAACTGGTGTCTTGGAAACCATTTGATTCCCTCCAGCCTTGGAGGTCAGGGGCTGCAGTGACTGTACGATTCAGTGGTAAGGATTTGAGCCTGCTTGGATTCAGGCTTGGTGAGCTCAGCTAGCCTTGGTTTGGGGGGAGGGGTGTATGTACTTTTGAAAAGAACATTTAATGTTATTATGTTTCATATTTGGAAAACAAGTTCTTTTCGAAATCCAAACAACAAGTAGTGTTAAGCTTAGCAAAATGCACAGAAACTAGTGATTCTCAGCCAAGCTGTTGGCATTATTTGGGGCAAGGTTCTATCAAAGTTTCTATCAAAAAGGATTGGGGTTCTTTTGGGTTGGTTTATAAAAGCACTCGTGGTCTGTAAATTGCTGGGCCCTTTCTCATGGGCTCCTTAACGTAGACCTCAAGTTTGTTTTCTCTCGGTGAACATTCCCTGGGGCTCCAGAACATGGAGAAGCATAGAAAGTTACAGAAGACTGGAGGAAGGGGCAGACCTGTGGAACTTCTGAAACATTCCATGCAACTCTGAGCAGGGTAGTCAATAAAGTTTGTTAATCATCCAACTGTAAGCCTCTCCTTAGGCGTAGGACCAGGCTCACACTATATTTAACAGTGCCTTCTTGCCTACCTCAGGTTTTTCTTAGCCCCAAGCTGAACTCTTAAGTTCCTACTCTGTACTCTCCCTAAAATGGAGTTTGGGCTCTTTATGGAAGGGGAGATGTGTAGGAGGATTTTTGAAGGACCCTCAGACCCCTTCCCACCTATCCCCCACGCCCGAGGATTGTCATAGGTCGTTCTTTTCTCAGTTTTTTACCTGCTCTGGAGAGGAGAGACTGAACCAGGCCGTGGACATTATCCCCTGCCTTCTAGGGACTGCTCCCCAATTCCTAATAATGGAAGAAGGCTCAGACACGCTCAACTTGAGTCCCTTTTCTCCTTTTGATCACAAACTAAAACAAAACTCCCTTGAAGGTTTGGATCTAGGACGGGAGGTGGACCAGAGCAGCCCAGCCTGCCTTGGGCTGTGTTCCCTGGGGTGGGGATGGGGTTGCGAGTACAGTACCAGGCTGAGTGAGCAGCACACACAAGGCCTAAATGGGGAGACCCGGCCGACAAGCCAGGAGTCAGGTTGTGGAGGCAACTGTATGTTGTGTACCGTCTTTGGACTGGATCAGGACTTTGTTTCTCCTGAGCCAAACTTTTCCCTTTGTCGCATTTTGTTTATTGCTGGGTGAAATGATCTGTTACAGATCCCAGTGCTGAGGGAGCAGGATTCCTTGCTTCCCCTCTGAAGTTCTGGCATTTCGTTCACTCGGCACACCTTGCCTTCCATAGTGATCCCAGCGTGAACCAAGATGAGGAAGAAGAGCCTACCTTAGGCCGGTGTGTGGCCTCTCTGGTCATTTTTATACACGAGTATATAGTCCTCACAGCCAACAGCTGAGGTGCCAAGGATGGAACCCAAGTGAGCGGCCATCATACTCCCTTTTGGGCAAATGACAGTGGGGATGGGGGAAGGGGTGTGTATCTCGGACCTTCCTGGAAGGTCACCAGATCCCAGGAAGAAAGGCTGAAACAGGACAGCTGGTAAGTGGTGGTGTTACTTCAGTCCACTGTCTCGAATTCAGTGCACTAGATAAGTGCGCTCTATCCTGGTCTTTGCCTCCTCTCAGTTCCTCAGCTGGTGACAAGGTCACACACTGTCACCTGCCTATGATCAGGATCATAGGAGAAGGCCCGCCTTACCTGTGCTCAGTGCCTTGGTTCTCAGGCCCAGCTTGTGGCCTCGGTGGCCATAGGGTTTGTGCAAAGCAGTTGAGGGTCCCTCTGAGGATTAGAGTGACCTGAGTCTGGTCCTCTGAACTTGCAAATACTGAGAATACTCGGTGCTGTTGTGCCCAGGAAGCAGGTGCAGAGAACTCATCTTCACCATTTGCTATGAGGTCATAGCGTCACTCACAATCTAGCCATCTCACCACCATCTCTTAAGCCTGTCCAAACCTGGGGTCCTCTAACCAGACTTGAGGTGTGTTTGCCTTTCCATCCTGCTTTGGCCCCTTCAGCGTTCACACCCTCAGTCCTGGGAGGGGGCTGCTACTAAACAAAAGAAAGCCTGTTTCAGGAGGACCAAGGAGAGGCTGAGATTTGTGGGTCACAGGCCACATAGCCAACCTGCACACAGTGTTTGGCTGTGGTTGGCACAGTGTCTTAAAAAAACTTTAGCCAACTTTCAAATCTTGGGAGACTGTATAAAAATCTAGAATTCTGACTTGTCTCAAAAAAATGAGAAAACGTGCTGCCATTGCCCTCACACACATACCCGAGTGTACCACCACGTGGGAGAAACTGTAACATTTGCCTTTGAGACAGGACAGAGCCCCCCATTTCACTGTGTTCCCACCAGCAGACAGGAAATTGTAAAAGGCCTTGATCTACACACTTGGACATTTTGCTCATAATAGAGAAGTGTCTATATTCCATGTCTGTCGAGATGGAGAAAAAAAAAAAGAACCATGCATTTCCAAAAAAAAATGAGGGAGGCTGTATTTCTTTGTGGAAATGGACTGCTTTGCACCTCTGTGACCTTCCTAGCCCTGGCAGACATTTGAGTTTGCAGATCCCTGGGCTACATCATATGTTGTTTTGAGAGCTCACATTTAAGTGGGGAGGCAGAGTGTAAACCGTATTTTCACTGTGGGACAAGAAGGATCTTTTGAGAAGTCTACAGCAATGGCCAAGGTCCTAGACAAAGCCAGAGGTCCTTTGGTACAGTAACATCAATTCCTGCACTCGCACTCAATCTTTTGTATAAAATCCTTGTATGTAAGTTGGGATAAACCAGCAGCGAGTCCAACTTGGTCTCTTAAAAACCATTTGATTCTCTCTAGACTTAGAGGTCAGGGGCAAGTTCTCAGCTGTGGCTTTGCAGTGACCACACCACAATTCAGTGGTAAAGATTTGAGCCCACTCTGGTTCAGGCCTGCTCAGTTCAGTAAGCCTTGATTGGCTCAAAAAATGGTATTATGTTTTATATTTGAGAAGGAGGGAAGCTTAGGAAAATACTCAAAAGCTAGTGATTCCCAAACAAGGGTATGCACATAACAGGCTTTCTTAAATGGTGGGAACTCTTGTGTTGTGTGTGTGTGTGTGTGTGTGTGTGTGTGTGTGTGTGTGTGTGTGTGTGTTTAAGTTTATTTTGAAAGAAGAGAGAAAACTCCAAGCAAGTTCCGCACAGGACTTGAATTCATGAACCATCAGATCATGACCTGAGCCAAAGTCAAGTATCAGACACTTAACCGACTGAGCCACCCAGGTACCCCTGGAAACTGTTTTTATCAAAAAGAGATAAAAGTTTTGTTCTTTAGACAATTTTTTCTTTTTGGTTTGTGAAAGCACTGGTGGTCTGTAATAGCTGAGACCTTTCTCATGGGCCCCTTGATTTAGATTCTCAAGTTCGTACTCTCTCAAAGAGGAGTGCAGCAGCCAGGAACATTCCCTGGGTGCCGGGAACCCCACAACAGGAAGTTCCAAAAGTTGTCTGGCAGCAGAGAGTGCACAGACCACCTGGAACCTTCCAGAGCCTTCCAGAACATTCCATGTACTTTCAAGCAGGGGGCTTAATGAAGTTTAATTAACCATCCAACTCTACCATCCAAGACTTTACCATGGCCCAGAACTGAGCCCACTTTACTCTGTCAGTATCCGTACCCACCTGCCTCAAGTCTTTTATGCTGGAGCTGAACACCAAAGAACCTCGTTCCGTACCCCTTCTAAAACTGAGTTTGAACCCTCTGAGGGAGGTAAGGGGTGTGTAAGACTTTTGAAAGACATCATCTAGTTCCCTTGTTAACACTCTTCCCCTCTCAGATCCTCCCTTGGGTCATTCCTGTTTCTACTTACCAGCCCTGGGGAGGGGAGGCTGAGCTACTAGGCTGCGGACATTAGCCTGTGCCTTCTAGAGGCTTCTCCCCAATTCACAATATTGGAGGAGGATTCAGGCATGCCCAATCTTAGCTCCTTTTCTCCTTTTGGTTGCAAACGAACAACCCTGGAAACTGGACCAGGAATGGAAAGCCAAGACAAGGGGGGCCCACCTTGCCCTAGGCTGTGCTGAGAATGTGGGAGGTCTTCCAAAGTTGTTCAGTCTTCTGTCATCTCAGGCAGGTACCTGGTGGTTCCAGTGTCCCTCAGCCCCCAGCAGTTCAAGTGCTGGCAGCAAGGACAGTAGGGGAACCAAGGCCAGTGTGGGGTAGAGCTTCTCAAGTGGGCACTATCTGTGTGTGCTTTGGCTGGGCCCCTGGCAGGGATACCTCTGCCTGCCTGCACTTGAAGGGCTCTGGAAGGCTCAAATGAGCCAGTCCCTCCAGCCATTGCTTACATCTCTAAAACTCCCATCAAGCAGTCACTGGGGTACTGCTCACACATCTTTGTAGTTGGTCCTCATTCTTCCTGTGGTTTCCACCATTGGTCTTGACTCTGACCTCCAGCTCTACATCTCTAGCCCTTGGAGATTCAGAGGCTAACTGTCTCACTTGTAGCCAGATGCCTCAACTACTCATCATGGGATTTAGTCCCAATCCTCTTTCTCATCATACACACTAGGGACATTCTGAGGAGACCAAAGGCGGTAGTTTGGTGGGTCGGTCCCTCTTACAGTGTAAAACTTCGGTGAAAAGCAGAGCCAACCCAATACTTTACTCTTTCTAGACGGTTCTATCCCTATTAACATGGACCGAGATCACACTCGCTTCTACAGCCCTCTGCCCCCTCTTGTTTGCAGGACCTTCCATGCCTCCCTGCCAAACTTCATCTCATTAGACTTGACCTAAGCTGATCCATAGCCTGTTTCTGCTCTCCTAACTTCTTGTCCCACACTCATCAGCCAAGCTGGTCACCTAGTATTCACCCTGGCTGAAGACCAATACCTTCAGCCTTATAGAAGCCCTCCATTCCTCAGCGGAGGTGGTCATCTGGCAGGCCAGAGCAGGAGCAGGCACCATCCTGACTGGGCTTACAGGCAGCCCAGGAGGAGAAGGTGCATACAGGTGAGGCGGTTGGGAGAACAGAGGTGGAGCAGAGTGTGCTTCTGGCCAGAAGTGCTGGGAAGTTAAGAGTTAGGAAAGACTCCCAGTCAGTAATCAGAGAAGGCTTCACGGAAGAGGCAGCAGCAGTGCTGGACCTGAAGGAGCTAGGCTTTGGACAGGCAGAAAGGAAAGGAGGGCATCTCAAGAGGAGGAAGCACAGGAACTCCGGTGTGGAGGCTGCAACGGCAGAGGCAGAGTGGCTGGTTGAGGGAGCAGAGAGGAGTCGGGCAGCATCGTCATCCTCATCATCACATTTATTGACGGCCCCTGGGAGGTGGGGCTGGGGACAGAACATACAAAGACAAGGACCTGCCCTCAAAAAGGTTCCATTCTAAGGAGACGGGGACAGAAAAATACAGAATGGTCTTTCCTGGGGATGGCCCACTCTCATCTGTGCAGGTCAGGAGCCCCTGGCCTACCTTGCCCCAGCGACCGGAGCATGAGTGGGGCACAGAGTAGCCCCAGGGCCATGGTGTCCCCGGCCCCGCAGCTGGGGTCTGACCACCTGGCTCCTAGGCTGTGGGCCCCAGAACTGGGGAAAGGTAGGAGCAGGACGCGATGGAAGGCGCTCCCGCGCCCGTTGTGCCAGCCCAGTGGAGTGGTAGGGTGCTTCGGCCCCCTGGGCAGGGTCCCCGGGGGGGAAGCAGGCACCTTTCCAGGCGCCCAGGCAGAAAGTCCTTTCACTGGGGCTGGCCCATTACCCGGGAGGCCCCAGCCGGGGAAGAAAAAAAGGCAGAGTTTCCTCAGCGCCAGAGACACCCTGCCCACCCCACCTCCGGCCCGCTCTCTGGGCAACTTCCAGGTGACCCTCCTCCCCAGCTCAGCCTCCAGGGCCGGGGACTGCCTGAGGCCAGGGGGAGGGGCCTGCCCCTCCCCCCACCCAGGCAGTGGGGGAGGAGGAGGAGCCACAGATCAAGTTTCTCTGGGCCCCCCACCGGGGGGCCGTACGCCGGATCCTACCGGTGGGGGGGCTCCGGCTGCGAGGGCCGAGGGCTCAGCAGAGGGGCCGGGCCCAGGGGGCACCCGGGGGAGCCCTTCAGGGGGGGCACGGGGCGGGAGTCCAAGGGGGGCAGGCTCCGGGGCACTGCCGGCGGCCCCCGGGCGGCCCCGGTGGGCGGGATGGCCGCGGAGGGGAAGGGTCTGGGGGGGTCCGCGGCAGCGGTGGGGGCTGGCTGGGCAGACCGCTCCCGGCGCCGCAGCAGCTCCTGCAGCTTCTCCGCCTGGGTCCGCCGCAGGTGGGCCAGGGCGCGGCCGCGCTGGAAGGCGGGCAGGAAGGCCTCCAGGCTCTGCTCCCCCAGCAGCAGCTGCTCCATCTGCTCCTGGGGTGGGAGGGCCGAGCCCGTGTGGGAAGCGCACCCCCGGAGACCGCCCTCCCTCCCCCCCCCCAATCTCTCCCAGGGGCCACCACCCCGCAGCTGGGAGATGAGGCGCCCGAGTTGTGGCCTGGGCCTGCCTGGGGCTAGCTGAGGGACAGCGGACACATGTCCTCTACTCTCAAGCCTTGGTTTCCTCACTGTCACCAGACCTACTGGGCGGAAGACAAGGCAGAATCAGAGATGGGGACACACTTAAACTTAGGTGTCTCTCAAGTCCAGGGCCACGGCCCCTCCTCCCCTACCTCCTTCAACTCAGCACTGCGCTCCCAACCCGGCAAGCTTGGAGAAGTCTGTCCCAGCTCCTCGGGGGACCCAGTCTACACTGTCCTACACCGAAACAGTCACAGGTGGTGAGAATGAGCCTTGCCGTCCAATGCGGACAGCAGTGTAGTGGGGCTCTCCTCGGGGCCAGGCACTCCAGGTGGGCTTCCTGGAGGAGGGGCTCTCAACCCTACCATGTAAGAATGAAGGGGGGGGTGATGATACTTTGGGTCTCCCACCCTGTCCCCAGGCGCAGCGGCCCCTCCCCTCACCTCAGCTTCCTGCTCAGCTTCTTCCAGCTCTGCCTGCAGCCAGCCCAGTGCGCAGTGGGGGCTCCAGCGATGCATGCTCTCCTCTGAAGGCCACAGAGGGACCACAGTAAATAGCTCCTGCCTTCGGGACCCATGGCCTAGGACAGACAGGCCAAAGCCCCAGGGCCCGATCCTGACACTCACTGACCCTGTGTGTGACTCTATGCCTCTCGCTGGAGCCTCAGTGTCCTTATCTGTGCACTGCCCATGGGATCAGTTTGTGAACCTCCCCCCCAGGGTTCTGTCCCCGTCCTAGTGCAAAAGAGGAAGCAGGGGCTGTGTCCCCTGGAGCACCCCAGGCCACTTTCCTTCCCCTACTCAGGGCCCCCAGTTCTACTCATTTACTGCTCACTTGCCCAACTCAGTCTTCCAGGAGGAGGACCCCTAAGCCTCGCCCAGGGAAGAGGTCTGCGCACGTCCTGCCCTTCAGAGCCTAGCACCTCCCCAAGGCCAACCAGCCGGATGGCCAGCTGCCCCCCGCCACAGCCAGTTCTCCCAGATGTCCCTCACCCAGTCGCTGCAGCTTGTCCGCACAGCTCTCGGCCACCTCTCGAAGCTCCTGGTACTTGATGGCGAGGGCAGCCCGGCCCATCTCCAGGCGGGGCCGCAATGCCAGGTTCTCCTTGGCTAGCGCGTGGTTGGAGGCCAGGCATGCCTCGCGCTCCAGCTGCAGGCCCTGGAACTGCCGGCACAGAAGAACCAAGAGGCCCGCTCAGGGAATCTGCCCACGTCCACCTCCTGCCACCCCGGGGGTAACAGGGCCCAAGGGCCAAGCCGAAGGCGCCCCAGCCTTCAGGATGGCGGACTAACAGGTGGAGGGACTGGGAGAGGCCTGGACGGAGCTTTGCCTTGAGGTCCCTCTCTGGGCCTCAGTTTCCTCTCACACAAAGTAAGCTAAAAACATCTACCTTGTGGGGTTGTTGTGAGAGCAAGTGAGGAAAACGATGACCGCCTCCACAAATGTTAGTTAATTTTTAATTTTTCAATTAATATGTCTGCTCAGGTCCCTAAGGAGTCCCCCGCCCTCCTCTGTCCCATTTTCCATGCATGGGCAGCTTTCCTCTTATTCCAGGCCTTTGTCTGCTTCCTCCTCAGGTGTTTGTGCCGAAAACACTCCCCCCTGCTCTTACTCTCCAGAGGGATGTCTTGGCCCTGTCCCTGCATGATACCCGGCTCAAGCCACCCTCTCTTTCCTTCGCACCCCTCCTTCTGCCCTCCAGTGGAATCCCCACACCCCAAGGAATACACACCCCCTTTTCCTCCCTGATCCCCAGCACCTGCTCCCAGCTTTCCGTCTCTTGCAGAAAGCAGACCCCCTTTCTCTCCTGGCTCTGGAGGATGCTTTTTCCTTCTGTTTCTCGGAGGGCCAAGCCCCCCTCCCTGCCCCTGGAGAACGCACTACCCTCCATCTGTCCCCTATAGGATGCACATGCCCCTCCTGTCCGCCTCCCTCCAACATACTTTCCCTTTCTGCCCCCCACAGACAAGCAGCCCGGGCCTATCTCCTGTGAAATATACAACTTTCTCTTATGGTGGCCTATGGAATACACGCCTCAGCTTCCAGTACCCCTCCCCAGCGGAAGACACAAAGCCCCCTCTTGCACCCCTAGAATGCGGACGCCCTCCCAGAGGTCCCCCCAGGTGTCAAACAGGCCCCCCCTAGTTCTCTTTCTCCTCTGAGGCACCTCCTTTTTGGCCCCTACTGAACATTAGTTAGTGAGACAGGGCCCCCCAACACAACCGCCCCCCACAGCCCCGGAACCTCCCCGGAGCGTCCATGGAGGGCACATATAAACCATCCCGGGGGTGCACGGGCGCCTCCCTGAGTCTCCGGCGCCCCACCCGCCCCAGGCCGGCTCCCGGGCGCCCCCCCCCCCAGGGGCGACGCGCAGACCCACTCGGACGTGCCAGGTTCCGCGGCTCGGCGGCCCGCGCGCGGCCTTTGGTCGGTCGGTGGATCCCGGCAGGCCGCGGCCCGTCCCCCACGCCCCCGCCGCCCCCCGCCTTTACCTTCCTGTGAGCCGCACGCGATCGGTCCAGCTTGGGCTAAATCTAAACAGGTCCCGGAGCTGCCCGGTGCTGAGATCCCAGCAAGCGCCCGGGCTGCCGAATCCAGCCCCCGCCGCGCACCGCCGGGTACCATGCCGCCACCCGCCCCAGCTCGGCGTGGCTCAGCCCCTCGGCCCGCTCCTCCCCGGCTCACTCCGCTCCCGCTCCAGCTCCGGGATCCGGCTCTGGCTCCGGCCGGGCGCGCCGCTCAGCCGCCAGAGGGCGCCCCGCCCGCTCTTAAAGGGGCCGCGGCGCTGGGGCTGGGGGTGGGGCCGGGAGAGGCAGGGAGAGGCGAGAGGGGGCAGACCACACCCCTGGCCTTGAGCAGAGCCTCGCCTCCCGCACCCGCGATCTCCCGGCAAACCCATCCTCCTGCCGCCAGGCGGGTACCCGAGGCTTCTCTCCCCGCACCCCTGCTCCGGCCGGCATTCCACCACCCCCCCAATCCCCCCACCTCCCCCTGGCGCGGGGCTCTCTTCCCACCCCCAGACGTTTACAGTTTGCAGGGCTATTTCACATTTCTCCCTTGGATCCTCACAACAATTTGCTGAGTTGGCTGGGCGCCAGGAGCTTCTGCCCTGTTGCTAACTTGGGCAAGTCCTTTACCTCCCCAAGACTTAGTTATCTCTTCTGTAAAATGGGGTGACGATACACCACGTGAAGATTAGAGCTAGTGAATGCTGAGTGTCTTATCTGTAGGAAGTGAGTACCTAATGTGAGTGATGGTTATATTAGAGATGAGGAAACATATGCACACAGATGATGTAATCTCCCCAAAGTCACATTACAGGTAAATGATAGACATTCTCCTTTCTTCCTGTCTGTGCAGTATAGTATGCACAGAGCACATGGTGCCTCTCCGTGCTGGGCACTGGGCTAAGCTCTGTGAGGGCCTGGTCTCTGCCCTCAGAGAGCTCACGGATTAAGGCAGAGTCACATTCTCAGCTTCCTTTAATGGCAGGTATCAACCACATGATGTCTTCCTTTGTGATTCCCATGTGATGCCAGAGGATGTCATGGACCTTATCTTCAGGAATAGGTTTGGCCAGTGCCATTGTCAGAAAACAGAGAGTAAGTCACTTGTCTAAAACCAAACCGCAGGGGCGGCTGGGTGGCTCAGTTGGTTAAGCGTCCTCCTGATTTTGACTCAGGTCATGATCTCACGGTTCATGGGTTTGAGCCCCGCTTAGAGCTCTGTGCTGATGGCACGGAGCCTGCTTGGGATTCTTCCTCTCTCCCTCTCTCTCTCTCTCTCTCTCTCTCCCCCTCCCTCTCTCTAAATAAATAAATGAACATTAAAAAAAATAAAACAGCAATGAGCAAGCTTATTCCACCTCATCACACTAAGAAAGCACAGAGGTGGGACCAGGACAATCAGAAAACCTCACAGTGGTGGGGGGCGGGGAAGAAGGAGAGGACACCAGAAGAGGTGATGTTTGAGCAGGGTTTTGAGGGATGAATAGGAGTTCTGAAGCTCCCTATTTTCATAGGGAAAATAATGAAACCAAAGGGAAGCCCATAAGCCAAGGACTCTCCCAATCCAGCCAGAGCACATATCTCTACATGGTAGAGATATCTGAGAAGCAGAGAGAAAACTGATGGAGCTGGGCAGGACAGGCTTATTGACAGACCATGACGACAATATTTCTTCCACATTTTAATGATAACTGAATTTGGTTTTCTCCTTCAAGACTCAGCTGGAACACCACCACCTCCAGGAAGCCCTCTCTACCTCCCCAGCCTGGGACTTGTGCCCCTCTCTTCTGCGCTCCCCCTGTCCCATCCCTGCTGTCCCTCCATCCTGGTCCTGGCCATGATCAGGAGCACCTCTACACCTGCCAGTTTCCTGGCTATGATCTCCCTGGTTCTGGCCTGCCTCCTCAGGACCCACCATTTCCATTAAGCTTCCGTGGTTCTCCTAGATACCCCCCTAGCTGGCCCTCCTTTGGGCCCTCCTACGCCGGGCTGCAGGACCTCTGCACTCTGGGAGGCGCTGGTAAGACCTGATGGGAGACACCTACCCCGCTCCATTCCCCACCCTTTCTTGCCCACCCCCCTTTGTTCACCAGTCCCTCTGTTGAATGCCCCACAGCAGCGCCTCCTGCCCCCCGTAAACCCTCCCCACACTCCTCAGACCCTCATACCTACTCCTACCTCTCTCGGCAGGGGAGGGGGGGAGAGGGGAGGTCACTCTGCTGCCTGTCACCTGGAGAAGCTTCCGCCACTTTCTGCCTCACCTCTTTGGGTTTTCTCTCCTGCCTCCGGGAAGAGCAGTCCCTCTGGTTCTAAAGCCAACCCAGGTACCTTTGCTATGGGTCTCACCTTCACCTGCCTCCTCTCAGATGCCCTGATCCAATCGAGTAGTTATGTCTCTCTTTCTGTCTCTGTCTCCTACATCTTTAATCTCTGTCTTTAGACTGGCACCTTACTTTCACTAGCACCCCCAATATTTTGTTCTCTCTCTCTCTCTCTCTTTTTTTTAAACATTTATTTATTTATTTATTTATTTATTTAAGAGAGACAGATAGAGACAGAGTGCAAGTGGAGGAAAGACAGAGAGAGAGGGAGACACAAAATCCAAAGCAGGCTCCAGGCTCTGAGCTGTCAGTACAAAGCCCGATGCAGGGCTCGAACTCATGGATCGTGACCCGAGCCGAAGTCAGACGCTCAACCGACCCTGCCACCCAGGCGCCCCATCGCCCCCAATATTTTGAAGTAACTTATGATAGACTGAATACTTGTGTCCCCCCGCCCCACCCTAAAATTCATATGTCAAAGCCCTAACCCCCAGTGTGATGGTATTTGGAGGGGGGCCTCTGGGGATGATTAGGTTTAGACTAGGACATGAGATTGGGGTCCCCATGATGGAATTAGTGTCCTTACAAGAAGGGGAGGAGAGACTAGAGTTCTTTCTCTGTCCACCATGTGAGGACCCAGCGGGAAGGTGGCCTTCAGCAAGCCAGGAAGAGGGCTCTCCCCAGAAGCCCGATCTGTGGTACTTACTTTGATCTTGGACTTCCCAGACTCCAGAATCACGAGAAATAAAAGTCTATTGTTGAAGCCACTTGGTCTGTGACACTTTTTTTGGCACCCAAGCAGACTAAGACGTCCCCTCCACACTTCATTCCCTGCGTCCATTTCCTCACCCTCCTAATTCCTCGACTCAGTCTGACCTCACCCACTTCTCACCACTTGGAAGTCACTGGTCTGAGCCAGGGCTGTTCTTTTTCACATTCACCACCATTGACCACGATCTCTTTCTTGACCGCATTGCAGTCAGACCCCAGACATTCCATAGCCATTGGGCGACAAAAATTAAAACGTCAGATAACGTCAAGCGTTGGTGAGGATGGGAAGCAACAGGAATGCTCGTGTCCTGTCAGCGGGAGAGAGAATTATTGGCTCCAAGAGCATTCTGGCAAGCTCGTCATTCAAAGATCCCCGTATCACGTCCCTGCCATGTTGGACAGCGTAGTGCCCCCCAAAGATGTCCACAGCCTAAACCCTAGAAACTGAATATGTTACCTCACAAGGCAAAAGGGACTTGCATGTACTCAAGGATCTTGAGACTGCGGAGGCCAATGTACTGTCAGCTGTGTCCTTATAGAGGGGAGGCGGGGGTGGGGGGTGAGAATTAGAGGAGCTGGTAACGGAAACAGAGGGCCAGAGTCAGAGAGGAATCTGAAGACACTGCATCACTGGTTTTGAAGACGAAGGAAGAAGCCATGAGATACAGAATGGAAGCCTCTAGAAGCTGGAAAAGGAAAGGAAACGCATCTTCCTCTCCAGACTCTGGAGGGAGCATGACCCAGCTGACACCTTGACTTCAGCCCAGTGAAACCCATTTTGGACTCGTGAGTCCAGAACCGTAAGATAATATCGTGTTGTTTCGAGGCACTGATTAGGTAATTTGTTGTAGCTGTGAAAGGAAACTAAAGCAAACTCCTAGGAATTTGGGGAACGGGAATGTTCACAGTGGCCCTAACTTGTAAGAACGGAAAACTGGAAACAACCCAGACGTCCAACCCCAGAAGAACGGCAAAGGAACTGGTGAGCCTTTGTACAGGCACCCCTTTGCCCTAGACACCAAATATAGGAGCAAATCGTAGTGCACACGACCCTTTGGGTGAATCCCACAAACAGCACTAATTGAGAAAAGGCAACCTGGGAAGAGTTCATCAAGTGTAATGCTGTTTACACAAAGTTTAGAAACAGGCAAAAGTATGGGGCGCCTGGGTGGCTCAGTCGGCCAAGCGTCCGACTTCGGCTCACATCATGATCTCACCGTTCGTGGGCTCGAGCCCCGTGTCGGGCTCTGTGCCGACAGCTCGGAGCCTGGAGCCTGCTTTGGATTCTGTGTGTGTGTGTGTGTGTGTGTGTGTGTGTGTGTGTGTGTGTGTCTGCCCCTCCCCCACTCACTCTCTGTCTCTCAACAATGAACAAACATTTTAAAAAATTTAAAGAAAAGAAACAGAATTAAACTTCATAATGCTTGGAGATATGTACAAAGGAAAAGCATGGGAACAATAAATACCAAATTCTGGAGCATGGCTGTCTGGCAGAAAAAGGTTGCAGTCAGGGAGGGACCAAGGGAAGTTCAATGGCATTGATAGATAGTTCGATTTCTTTCTTTCTTTCTTTCTTTCTTTCTTTCTTTCTTTCTT